TGCGGATATTTGTTTCGCTCACGAATATGCGTGGGGGAGCCCTGCGTGCCCTGCCGCACGGGGACCGAGCGCAAGAAATACGCCACACGTTTATCCAACTCTCGCCGAAGCCTGGCGGCGTCAAATGTATCTGGCTTACTGGAACGCTCGCGGGCGCCGTCCTACACCTCCCCCTCACATTGATTCTCGTCCTTCTTCCCTAACCCCTTTTTTCATACTCCATCCGTCCAAGTGTCGTTGCAAACGCAGCGCGGACTCCTAATCTAATCCGCCAACGTGCCTCCGTGGCACTGAGGGGTGTACGGTCTGAGACAAGGCTGATGCTACTTACTGATCCCCCTAGGCTATGGGGCTATAGGCCTATGGAGCTGTAGGGCTATAGGGCCATAGGGCTAGGTCTACAGGGCTATAGGGCTATAGAGCTATAGGGCCATATGGCTACAGGGCTGTAGGGCTATGGGGCTCTGGGGCTCTGGGACTATGGGCGTTTAGGGCCATAGGGCTATGAATCTATAGGGCTATGGGGCTATATAACCATACGGCTATAGGGCTATAGGGATATAGGGCTATGGTGCTATAGGGCTATAGGGCTATACGGCTACAGGGCTATATGCCAACATGGCTATATGGCTATAGGGCTGTAGAGCTGAGAGGCTCTAGGGCGATGGGGCTATTGGGCTATATGGCTATAGGGCTATATGGCTATTGGGCTATGGGGCTATGGGGCTGTAAGGCTATAGGGCTACAGGGCTATAGGGCTATAGCGCTATAACGCTATAAGGCACCCGGGCACCCGGGCACCTGTGCGGGCCGCGGAAATCGGTGACAAGCCTCACCTAAGCATATGAATCCGCTAGGACCCATACAAAGGCAAGCTCTGATTGGGGAATATCCACACAAGACCCCGCGCATAGGGCCCCACGGAAATCACAAACATGACCCGGGACCCACGCACGTTATCCTCACATTGGACCCGCACCCAGGGATCGCTTCCTCTATCTCTCTCTCTATCTCTGTCTCTCTGATTCTCTGATGTTCGTCTCTTCTGCAGATTTCGTACTCCCATGTGATGAGGCCAGGCATCAGCAGATGCACCCTTCGGAACGGCCAGAGTGAGAAGAAGTAGCTGTGGCAGCAGGCGGCGATGAGACCGTACGTCATCAGCTACAGCGTCGCGAACAACCAGTGTTAGCAGAGGCGGCATTGGCAGCAGACTGCGGCGGCACTGCACGTCGTCAGATACAGCCTGGGTAATGGCCAGTGCGAGAAACAACGGCAATGGCAACAGACGGCGACGAGACCGGACGTCATCAGCTACAGCCCGAGGAACGGCACGAGTGAGAAGGAGTGGCAGAGCCAGCAGACGGCGGGTAGACTGGACTTCATCAGCTACAGCGTGGGGAACAGCCAGTGCGAGAGCAGGCAGTAGTGGCAACAGACGGCGGCAAGACTGGACATCATGGGCTGCAGAATGAGGAACGGTCAGAAAGAGAAGAGGCGGCAGTGGGAACAGGCGGCGATGCGGCCAGAAGTCATCAGAGAAAGCGTGGTGAACAACTGGTGTGAGAAGAGGCGGTATTGGCAGCAGACTGCGGAGACGAGGAACAGCCAGCTACGGCGTGGGGAACAGCCAGCGAGATACGATGGGGCCGCGGCGGCAGACGGCGACCACACCGCACGGCATCGGCCAGTGCCAGAAGAGGCGGCAGTGGCAGTAAGCGGCGTCGAGCTGACGCGGCGGGCGCAACGCCTCGCAGATCGGAGACTCTCTTGGCTGACGCAGCCCGTGCGCGCCAGGTTGGCGAGCGGCCCCGCCGACCGCGGGCCGTGGGCGCAGCTTGTCGCAGGGGCGTCCGCCGACGCGAGCGACCCTTGCCGCCTCTGGCACGTGGCTGCCCCAACCGTCCGTCGGCAAGGGCACTACTGTCATGAGGGACCGAAGGGCACGTCGTTCGTCGAGCTCTGAGCTTCCTGAGGTGCCTCGGTGCTGCTGCGGGTCCCCTGGGCCATCGGGACACAAGGAACTTCAGTGACGCGCCTAATTAATGTATGCTGTATGTTCAGCCAGTCGCCGCTTGCCCTGCACACCTGGACCCCGCACCCCACGCAGGCTGAGCTCTGCGCCGAGGCCTGGCTGGCCCCGCACGCGGGCCCCGCCCAGGTTCTTGGCCGACGAGCACCTGCAGCAGACGCTTGTGCGAGTGGTGTGGGCGGCGAAGGCGAATCCAACCGCGATCGACGCGCGGGGTCGCAGAAGAGGCGAAGGCGAACCCAACCGTGGGGAGCAAGAGACGGAGGGGGCGGATGCCCATCGCCTCTGCCGTGAAGCCGCTGCGAGGCGGTGCTTCCATCATGCCTCGCCAGCCTTTCTCCACCCCCAGAGGGACATCGCGGAGGTGAGGGAGCGGGCAGAGGAGACCCTGCGCCCCGTAGAGGCTGGCGTTGGAACTCACCTACGCCCGCTTTGGTACGGGGGGGCTTGGGAGCGTCGGCGAGAGGAAGGTGGTTTCCTGGAAGGCGTTCAGCCCCACCAGAGCCACACCGCCACACTGAGGAAGGCCGCAGCCTGTGGGGTGGGGGCGGTCCGCCACAAAACGGCGGCAGAGAAGAGGGTGGTAGCTTGTGAGGCGGTCTGCCTCACAGGAGCTACTCCGAGGAAAGTGGTAGCCTAGGGGGGGCGGCACAGAATAGATGGGGTCGGAGAATCGCGCCGCATCGTCGGTACGTCGCTGATGCAGGGCCGATACATTAGCGATGTATCCACGACGTCCGTCAACAAGCGTCGGCAAACCCGGGTTCTGGCGAACTCGAGTCTTACGTTCCCCCTGTAGGCTGTTGGTTTCCTGCTGCCCCTTGCACCGTTACTCCGACGCCTCACCATGCCTGCTCTGAGCGGTGCTTTGTGGCGTGGAGGGGCTTGTGTACGGATGCGAATGTGTGGCGCCGAACGGTACCGGCGTCGCTTCATCAGATACATTGACTTTTTGCCACCCACCGACCCATCTCCGGCCAAGGCCAGTCTAACTGAATCTCCGCCTTCTATTGCTTTTGCAATCGTTTGCGCCGTATCGTCGCGACCGAAGCAACAACAATGCGTGCGCGCTTGTGTGTCTGGTTGCACGCTCACTGCAGCTCAATGCAGCTCAGCGCGCTGGCTCCCCCCCTCTTGGCGCTTCCCTGCCGCAGCTGGTGACGTGCCTGAGCGGGCCCAGCTTCCTCCGGGCTCCTCCTCTTCCTCCGTGCATGGCGGCTTTGATTGGCATAAGGCGTGTCCCCTGTTGCCAATCCGCCGGAGCAGTCACCGTCTGCCCAGCCGCCGACGCAAAAAACGTGTGTGGTTGCACGCCCGTCGCGTCTAAAGGCCCTCGTGCACAATGCCGGGCTTCTGGCGACAACCGTGCAGAACGGCCTGCCGTGTGCGAGGAGCACCTCCGTTGCGCCTGGAGCTGGCCGTGCACCACAGCGGCTACCCCCCGAAGACACTCGTGCACACGCGTGCGGCGCGTGCGAGGGAGAGGTTCGCGCTGCTGCCCGGGCGCCCATCTGTCCGCGCCGCCCTTCCCGCGCCGAGGATGGCGGCAGCCAGGAGCGCGGCCCTCTGCCACCCCCCATCCGCTCGCGTCGGTCCTTTGGCCTCCTGCCGCCCCCCATCCACTCGTCCGCTCCTTCCTGCAGGCGGTGGGGAGTCGAGACAGTCGGCGTCCTGCCAGAAGGAATGCCAAACCAAGAACGAAGGGGCTGCTCTGGCCACGGCGAGCCTCGGCTTCGAGTGGGTTCCCCGACCCGGATCTCAGGAACGGCCCGAAAACCGCAGCCCCCTCCCGAGCCCAAGGTGGTCCTTACTTCAGCGTCTTGCCTGTAAGGGGGGGGAGCGGCTGGCTCAGGGTGTGAGAGCCACCAATGCGGAATCGGCAACCCGTCGACGACAGATCGGCAAGAAGCCCCCGACAATAGCGAAGCCGCACGTCCCTGGGCGGGGTGGGCTATCAGGCCCCTATCGGCGATGAATTGGCGATTTGGGGGGTCGATGCATCCCCCCTTGGCCTATCCCCATGTATCCTTTCCCCGAAGGGAAAACGTCGGCTCTCCCGCCCGGCCCACATCCGCTAAAATCGGTCCCCGGCCCCCTCCCAGAGTCCATCTGGCCTGCTTTCCGAGGCGCGTCCAGCCTTGGCGACGAGAAGCCGCCAGGAGGCCCCACAAGAGAGAGAGAGAGAGAGACGCTAGTGGAGGGCCGCAGCTGTCTCGAATGGCCATTCTCCGCCTCCTCGCCCCTCGTTGATCCCTCCCCCCTGGGTCTGGACGGGCGGGGCCACGAACGGTCAGAGCGTCCAAGACGGCATCAGCGAGAAGGCAAAACGCAGATGTTGCTTCCCGACTAGAACGTGTGCTAGTACACCGGTCTCGGCGCCTTCGTGGTTGCGGACGTAAGATTCTCGCCACTCCGCGCCCAGAAGACGAAGGAACTCTGCAGCTGCTGCAGCTATCGAGGCCGAGTCGAAGAGCACTCCGAGACGCAGCGGAGCATGTGTACTGAACCAGTTGTTCGACCATCGCTGACGCTGGTGCTACCCCTGCAGAGGGGGAAGGGTTGGCTGCACGTGAGAGTGACCCCGGGCCAGAGTGACCTTTGGTGCGCGGCTTCCTGGGGGCGCGAGGGGGCCAGACCAGACCCAAGCGCGCAGGCCGCTGCTACCGCATCGGTGTCGCCCAATGGGCCCGCACCGAAGGTCACTCCGACGCAGGGTCAGGTCGGGCATGTCCCCCTACAGGCGGATTTTGGACGAAAATCAAAGTACCCAAAACATGTCCAAACATAGCCAACAAATGCGCAACACATCGTCCCCAGCGTACTTTTGCCGGGGCTGCTTCTGAGCAGCCCTCCTGTCGAGGCACACGCCCTTGAGCGAAGGGCCACTCTGGCGTGCAGCCGAGGCGGGGGCGGCGGAACTCGCCGCAGGCGCGCCCGCCGCGGATCTCCCTCCGCGCCCCCCCGGCCCTCACGACGTCTTCCCGCGCCGCAGCACGGGGGTGCCGCTGCTGGGCCTGCCGGGCCCCGCTGCTCGGCCGCCCGTCCTCCCCCGAGCCCTTCCGGGGGGGGCGGGAGAGCAGCCCTCGGCCCTCGGGGGAAGGAGCGTCAGACCCCCTGGCGCTGCAGAGCAAATCGCGACGGGACGTTCATCGCAACTTTCGGCCCCCGGGGGCCCTTCCTGGGCCCCAGGACCGTCAAAGAACGGCTCAAGATGCAACACCGGTCCCGGGGAAGGGGTCCAGGCAACTGGGGGCAGCGATAGTCTGCGGCGAGCGAGGGGGGGAAGTGAGAAGGGGCGGGCCTTCTCAGAAAGCTCGGAGGTCCCCCAACCTTCTGAAACGTTTTCTGAGCCTTCTCCGGAGACGCAGGAGACTTCTCAGAACCTGCGAGGGCTTCTGAGAAGCCCCGCCGCCTTCTGAGGAGGTCTGCTCCTTCTCGGCTCCCCTCCTCGCTCGCCCCTCTCCCTCATGTGGGGGAGCAGGAGCAACATCTGGGTCGCCCAGCTTCGCGCATCGCGCGACGCGATGCGCGATTATCTTCGCGACCTCGCGGCGCCCCCTTGAGGAAGAGCACCTCGGAGGCCCAGGCCGCGACGCGCGAAGCGCGATCATCTTCGCGCCCCCGCGGGTGATTTGGTGTATCGATGACGCGCCGCCCAGGGGAAGCCATCAGTGCGTTGCTGCCGAAGAACACGGCAGTCCCTCGGGGAAAAATGCAGGAGTAACCCGCTGACGGGCTCTAAACGGCGGCGTGCCACAGAAACTAGATTTGTTCCCTGGCCCCCTCTTCCCTCCCCTCCGCCCCTAGCCCCTCACTGACATGCCCGCGCCGTGGATAAAACAAAACCTTGCTATCGCTCGGACGCCCATTCCCTGTGCATTTGTCGGTTTCGTGCGTGCCTTCTTGCCAGATGACCCAGGGTGCTCCTGGCTGGTCCTCGCCGAGAAAAAGGCGCACACGTCCGAGCGACGCCGGTAATCAAGACGGGACATTCCCCAATCAGTGCTTACACCGAAGGGGTCCTCGCGGATGTTGCTAGAATTGGCGAAATACCTCGCCGATTTTGGTGGCACGCTGGGTTCCCAAGTTCCCGGTTCCGGGTTCCTGGGTTCCCGGGTTCCTGGTCATTGGCTCCGGTCCGATGGTTCACTACCGATCTCACTGTCGAATTCATTACGGATCTCATTGGTTCCCGGGTTCCTGGTTCCGGGTTCCCGGGTTCCTGATCATTGGTTCCGGGCCGATGGTTAACTTTCGATCTCACTACCGATCTCATTGTCGAGTTCATTACGGATCTCATTCAATGTTGAAAGATTTGGCGAAATTGCCCCACCGATTTTGGTAGCACGTTGGGTTCCCAGGTTCCGGGTTCCGGGTTCCCGGGTTCCTGATCATTGGTTCTGGGCCGATGGTTAAGTATCGATTTCTATACCGATCTCGCTGTCGAGTTCATTACGGATCTCGCTCAGTCGACCTAAAGTACTGGTCCCACTACCGATCTCAATATCGACAGATCGTCCCCTTTATCGATCTCACAATCGATCCTACGACCTAAGTATCGGTCTCACTATCGAATCGTCCCCACTATCGATCTCGCAATCGATCCCACGATCGATCTCGCGATCGAATTTGCGATCGATCTCACTACCGATCTCACGGTCGATTTCATTACGGATTTCACTCAATCGACCTGAGTATCGGTCTCACTATCGATCTCAATATCGACAGATCGTCCCCACTATCGATCTCACAATCGATCCCACGATCGATCTCGCGATCGAGCTTCCTATCGATCTCACTACCGATCTCACTGTCGATCCCACGATTCCTGTTAATATTCAGTTTTTTGTTAACCTCAATCCCACGATTTACTATCGATCTCATGATCTATCTCACTATGCATCTCACTCAACCGATCTCACCACGGACCACGTTATCGATTTGTCCTTCGATCTGACTATCGATCTCACTACCCATCTCACTCAATCGTGTCATGTGGCCCCCAATGCCCTGCCCAGGGGGGCTCCCAACCGTCCTGCCCAGCGCGGTCCTGGCGGAGACGGGGCGCACTTTACGATGTGAGGCCCGCTTGCGGGTACAAGTGTACAGGCAGAAAAGTTGTACCCGCCATGATTGCTGAACGCTAGCGATTGTGATGGCCTGACCCCCGGGTCCTAAAACGTTACGGATCCATGTGTGCTGGTCAATCTCCTCCAATCCTCGATCTTCCACCTCTTCTCCTCCTCCGATTCGCAATCGCCGGGCCACTGCGCCCTGGTTGGATGGAAATTTCGAGCTTTGGCAAGGCTCTCGGGCCGGCCAGGCCTAGATGCCCTTCTCCCAGGGTGAAATTTGTTTTCCGTTTCTCTTGCGCCAGCGAGTTTCCAACGCTCGCTGGTTCAAAGGGTTTTTTGTGCGATATCGATGTGCTTTTCCTCTTCCCGCCTGTCTCCCGCCTTTCCTTTCCTCCCCGTTTCTCTCTTGCTCACCGCGCTGCGCTGATGCGCTTGTGGCATCCATTAATGCCGTTGCAATTCTCTTACTCTCTGCCCCGCTGCGGGGACTCATTTTCCTTCTTCAATTGCTTGCGTTGGCCGTGCATATGTGCACACACAGTTCCTTACTCACGTTGCCGTTGTCCTTGCTTTTTCCCTAATCAGTGCTTGCACTGAAGGGGTCCTCGCGGATGCTGCTAGAGTTGGCGAAAATACCCCGCCGATTTTGGTCACACGCTGGGTTCCCGGGTTCCCGGTTCTGGGTTCCCAGGTTCCCAGTTCCGGGTTCTGGGCCGATTTCGGAGGGCGGCGAGGTTCCCGGGTTCCAGGGTTCCTGGTCGATCTTCTTATCGATCGGTCTCAGATCTCACCATCGATCTCACAATCGATCTCACTATCGATCTCACTATCGATCTCACAAGAGATCGCATGAGCGATCTCGCGATCGATCTCACTACCGATCTCATTGAATCGATGTCATTATCGGTCTCACCATCGACCTTACAATCGTCGTCACTGTCGATTCCACTATCGATCTCAGTCTCGATCTCACAATCGAGCTCAAGATCCATAGTATTAATTTTCAAATCATCCACTGATTGGGGTTTTCTTAGGTGTAATTTTTTGTCTGGCTCGGGGGGCCCTGGCCTGGCCCTGGGGCCGTCAAACGACCGCTCGGAATGAGAGGCCAGTCCCGTGGAAGGGGTTTAGAACTCTTGGGAACCACGTTGTGAAATACACGCGGAGTCCAGGCGTCCGAATGTCAACTGGCCGAGCTGCTCCAGAGGTGTAGAACAAATTCACCCTTGAGCGTGCTCCTTCAGGCTTTGGAGTCGCTCGGGGGTTAAGGCCCATGTAGACCCTGGCTCGTTAGCACATCTTTCATCCGATTGGCTGAAGGCTAGAGGCAATCAGTACGCCGACCTAGCTGCAAAGCAGGCGCTCGAGTGGCCACAGCCCGGCCGAAATATCAGCATGGGAGGCTCAGGGAACAACCCCTGAGGCTGGTGTTGCAATACGTTCCTTGTGCATTATCTCTGGTCTTCCCCCCGAAAAGGGGAGCTGGTTCTGGTCAGGCTGGCGCAAAGGAGCGGAAGCTACCTCCTCCTCTTCCTTCTCCTCCTCCTCCTCCTCCTCCTCCTCCTTCTCCTCCTCCTCCTCCTCCTTCTAGTCGACATGCTTGGGGCGCATGCCCAAGAGCATCTACTACGTTGCTGAAGGATGCAAGAGGGGCCACCAAGGAAGGAACTATTAGCGAGCACTCCTCCTCCTCCTCCTCCTCCTCCTCCTCCTCCTCCTCCTCCTCCAGGCCCCCACGGCTTCGGACCGGCAACGCGGATGCAGGTGGGGACAGGAAGTCTGTTGAACCTGCCTCCGCTGCCACAGAGAAACGTCAGATCAAGGGTGGATCCCTCACATATACACTGCCATGTCTCCATTCCCCCCGACTAAGCCCCCTCCAGGGACACGCTGGTATTTCTCCAATTCTTAGTGCAATGTGGCAACAACAATTGAACCACCACTTGTATGTTACAGAGTACACCGTGAAGACCTAAATCTGGGCATAACGAATTGCCCTTCCCCTCTTCTAAAGCCATTCTTCCCTATTCAGGGAAGGGCTTGCCCCTCCCAGACTCGGCTGCTACCTATGTGGTGGGAGGGCGGAGGGGGGGCCGGGAGAAGGCGGAGGAGGAGGAGGAGGAGGAGGAGGAGGAGGAGGAGGAGAACGAGGAGGGCAAGAACGGAGGATGGGAAGAGGAGGGAGGGGGGAGGAAGGGAAGGAGCGGAACGGAGCACAACCTCGGCAGCAGTTCGGAAGTGACGTATCGGCTGCGGGCTACCTGAACGGGCAGACGCCTGTCAGCGCTTTTGACTGGTGCTGGGACTATGCTGAGCAAGATTCGAGGAGTGCCTGAAGGAACCCTTGCGGCCAACTGAGACAATAATAGGAACAAGGGGAGGAGGAGGGAAAGACGAGAAGGGCAAGGGAGATGGAGAAGGAGGGGGTTGGGGAGGAGTATAAGAAAGGGAGACTGAAGAGGAGGAGGAGGAGGAGGAGGAGGAGGAGGAGGAGGAGGAGGAGGAGGAGGATAGACAGGCTACAGCCAGGTTGCTAACATCCGCCCAACGTTAAAAGGAAGAGGAAGAGGAAGAGAAGGAGGAGGAGGAGGAGGAGGAGGAGGAGGAGGAGGAGGAGGAGGAGGAGGAGGAGGAGGAGGAGAACGAGGAGGGCAAGAAAGGAGGAGGGGGTGGAGATGAGGGGGGGAGGAAGGGAAGGAACGGAACGGAGCGCAACCTCGGCAGCAGTTCGGAAGTGACGTATCGGCTGCGGACTACCTGAACGGCCAGACGCCTGTCAGCGCTTTTGACTGTTGCTGGTACTGTGCTGAGCAACATTGGAGGAGTGCCTGAAGGAAACATTGCGGCCCACAAGGACAATTATAGGAACAAGAGGAAGGAGGAGGGGACAGTGGGGACAGTGCAGAGAGCGTGCAAGTGAATCACGAACACGCCTCGGG